TTAATCAAATATTTGATGAGCATCTTTCTATTGTTAAATTCTGAGCACCTACCTGTGCAATATTACAAACTTGAGATGCCACAGTCCCTACCCTTCAAGAACCCTGATTTTGACCAATGGAAAATAGAAGAAAATCTTCCATTCTCATGCAGAAAGATAAGCCTGAAGTTGTCAATGTGTACACATAATGGTTTGGGGACCCAAGGACACACATCTAAATGGTCCTGGGAAGAATGTTGGATGGTTTAGGGCCTCCCTGGTGGTCTAGGGGTTAAGTGTCAGCTAAATGTCAGTCATCCTTGGTGCTCTTCCTGGACCTTCTTTTCTACCTAGAGTCTCATTCATTCCCATGGTTTTCAATATCACATATGACCTCTTCAATGTGAATATCCATCCCTGACCTCTGAAGTCCAGATTTCTTAACCATTAACATCTCAGCTAAAATGCTACCTGACGGTTGGGTAGTCTTCCCGGGCATTTTTCCTCTTTCCTGCCAGACGGAGAGCCCTGTGTTAAGATGCATCGTTACTTTCTTCAACCATATATTTTTAATGATTACTACAATGCCCAGTATAGACTCAAAAATTAGTTACTGACTGAGTAAAAACATAGGTAAACAAATTATTTCAAATGACAGAGTAAATCTGTGGTTTTGATTTTTAAAAACTGTGATTTTGATTTTAAAAACTTCACTCACTCACTCCAGTTCAAGTTCAGCCAGATTGACTTGAAATGAACTAGACCTACATTGTCCAACACAGTAGCAGCTAGCCACGTGCAAGTGGCCAGTTTGAGTCGATTGTTCTGAATTTAAAACACACACCATAGGGCCTTTCCTGGTGGCACAGTGGTTAAGCGCTGGGCTGCGAGGCTGCCCACAGCCTCTGCAGCACCGTTCGATCCCCGGCCGCCGGTGAGGGTCCCACATGGCGCAACAGACCTCTCCTGCCGCCCGCTGCTCCTCTCAGCAGTGTATTTCGTCAGTCTGCCTGTTCTGCTCCCTGCCCTGTCTCTGGTGAATTCTCTCACCCTCCCACGCTTCTGACTGTACCCAGTGTTGTATAGATAAATAAATAAATCTTCAAAAAAATAAATGAAATAAAATACACACCATATCTTGATGATGATTTAGTACAAATAATTTAAAATATTTCATTAATAATTTTTATATTGATCATACAAAATAATAAAATATCATATATATTGTGTTAAAATACATTATTAAAGTTAATTTTGCCTGCTTTCTCCTACTTTTTTAATATGGTTACTAGCAATGTTTAAATTACATGTATGGTTTATATATTTCTACTAGACAGAGCTAACCTAGATTATAGGATACCAACTGACTGAAAGATCATTAGACTTCTCTCTCTAGGACTCTCACTTATAAAGGGTGTACAACCCCTATCAGGAACTTATCAGTTCCAGCATCTTATGATTTTTAACTTATGTGACATTTTCTTAATTATGAATACTTATTAAATTGCTAGGTGCAGTAGCAAACAATTTTACATTTTACATTTTTTGTCATTTAATCTGTACAATAAATGGTGAAGAATAACTGTCTTCATTTTATGGATGGAAAAGAAGAAAAGAGAAAATTTGTACAAGTTAAGAGACATAATGTCTAGCTGGCTAGTAAGTGGTAAAACTAAATTCTTCTAGTTCCTGTTGTCTGATTCTTTGTGAGAAATTTCCAACAGAAAATATGTCAATATAGGGCAGCATTACTTACAATAGTCACGAGTTGGAAACAACCTAAGTGCCCATCAGTAGATGTTTAGATAAAGATGTGGTCTATGTACACAATGGAATACTACTCAGATGTAAAAAAAAAAAAAAAATGAGATTCTGTAAGTGAGACCATCCTGTATTTTTCTTTTTCTTTCTGTCTTATTTCACTTAGCATGATCCCTTCCAGCTCCATCCATGTTGCTGCAAATGGCATGAGTTTATCTTTTTTGATTGCTGTATAGTATTCCATTGTGTGTGTGTGTGTGTGTGTGTGTGTGTGTGCGCGCGCGCGCGCGCGCGCGCACGCCACATCTTCTTGATCTAGTCATCTATTTTTGGGCATTTGGGTTGTTTCCATAGCTTAGCTATTGTAAATAGTGCTGCAATAAACATAGGGGTGTAGGTGTCCTTTTGGATTAATATTTCTGTGTCCTTTGGGTAGATTCCTAGGAGTGAATTGCTGGATCATGTAGAGAATCCAAATAAGGGATCATGGGGAAAAAATAATTATAATAAAGTAAAAATCAAAATCAACAGCAGTTACAAACCAGAGACATTCTGCAGGGGAGTGAAGGGAGTAGGATCAAAACAAGGGTGGGAAGAGAGAACAAGGGACCATGGTGATAGTTCACGGGTGAATGGGTGGTGGGAATTTCATGGGGACTATAACTGAGGTGAAAATGCATACATTGTACAAAAATGAAAAATGATGTAAAAAATATGTAAAATTTAAAAAAGGCTTTTGAGAAAAAAAAATGAGATTCTGCATTTGCAACAATGGATGGACCTAGAGGATATTGTGCTTATGTAATAAGTCAGATGGAGAATGAGTTCACTCATACGTAATGCATATAGAAACAAAATATGTGAGTATATCAAATAAAACAAAAATCAACTTTTAAACTATAAGATCAATTATAGGTTACCAAAAGGACAGGAGGAAGTGGAACTGGGTAATTGGAATAAAAGGGGTGAATTATTTGGTGAAGGATAGAATTGGAATTTTATTGGTAAACTTAATGTGCTATAAACACATGTTGATTTAAAATGATACACACCTGAAATCTATAATCCAACGTTAAAACAATAAAATATGTTTTAAAAAAAAAGTCTATGTGGGTCCTGCTACTCAGTGTCCCCTAAAATGCCGCACCTTGTTTAAAGAACCATATATAATCAGAATTTGTAAAAAAAAAAAAAAAAAGTAAAAATCAAAATCAACAAGCAACTATAAACCAGAGACACACTATGGGGTGGGGGGGAGCAGGGTCAAAATAAGGAGGGGCAGGAGTTGTAAGATGAAAATGCATACATTGTGCAAAAATGAAAAATGATGCAAAAAATATATAAAATAAAATAAAATTTTAAAAAAATGTATCTAAGAGGCTCCAAGAAGGCTGAAGAGGACTCCAGAGTGCCAGGCAGGTTTGGTCCATCGTTGATGCCCTGCAGTAAATTGCTGGGAGGTTTCTGGGGAGAGAGACCAGCGCTGTTAGAGGTTAATTGTTGACCAGCTTCAGAGGATCGGGAGGAGGGCTGCAGGGGAGTGAAACATTGACCAGCTCTGATTTAGATGCAGGAATGTGTTAGGGAGGCAGGGAAAGGTCAGGGAGCAGTGGGCACCTGAGCAGCTCCCATGGGCAAAATTCCTCTCCCAGAGACCGACGGAAAAGGAGAAGACATACAGAAGGGGAAAAAGGCCTTTTGGCCCCAAAGTACATTTGTTGCGCCAGGTCTTACAGTCATTTCCAGAGCCAGCTGAAGGGAAAAAAAGATGGTGAGGTCATGTTTGACTTTTTCAACCCCACCCTCCCCCCTCCATCCTGCAAACTTGACTAAATTTTGGAGAGCTGGAACCAGGCATGAAAGGGTAGGGAAAACAAAGCATGAATAAATAAAATACTGCCCTTGCCTCAGAATCAAAACGAGAAATGCAGTGACTGGGCCTGACAGCTCTCAGACTTGGGTTCAAGTGTTGGCTGCACTTAACTGGTAATTCTGGGCAATTCAGTTTCTTGGAGTCTCAGTTAAACTCAGTATATAAAATCTACCTCCCAGGGGGGCGGGAAGGGAAGGATTGGGGTCAGAATGGGGCTTTTGCAATTGTATGGGGGAATATAAAAATAAAATTTATTATTTAAAAAAAAAAGAATTCAAAAAAAAAAGAATTCAAAAAAAAAAAAAAAAACAATTTTACAGCAAAATTGATAAAAGATTTTTTATTTTATAGTTTATTTATTTATACTTAAGACCAATATAGTAAAATACCCCACATTATAAATGTCCCAATAAAAGAAAATAAACTAATTAAAAAAAAAATCTACCTCCCAGTAATGTTGCAGTAATTATAAGATAATGAGAATCCTCTTGAGCCCTACTTTGATCAACTCTGAGTTGAAGAGTAGAAGGAAAATGCCATTGCTTCAATCAGTCCCAGGGGTCCCCCCCCCCACCCCGCTCTTAGGAAGCTCCCTTCCCTCTGTGGCTTAACTCATCTCCACAACTTCCCTTCTACCAAGGCCTCCCCACCCACCCCACCTCACCCTTGGTAGCTTCCTTTCTCTGACACTTTTAGAACCAACATCCTGGATGCTGAGGCTCAGTGTTTTATTCCTTACCATTTTAAGTCCCCCAGGGGAGTTGACCACTCAAAGGCCCTCTTTTAGCACAAGCTACCTGCGAATTACCCTGGTCCTTGCCTGAGTTAGCCCTTGGCCCCAGAAGGCTGAGCTTGATCATCGCAGACAAGCCTTGACAAGGAGCAGGTTACATTTCTCTCCATTTTTCTTAGAACACAAAACAAACTTTTTTTGGTTGGCTGCCCTGTGTCTGTTATGTAAACCAAGTTAAATTGCTCTTAGGGTGGTTTGCGGAGCCCCTGATGCTGGATTGAGAAGTGATTTACATTTTCTCTTGGCAGGGAATTACCTTGACAAATACTGTTTAACTAAGCTTTGTGTGTGTGGGCACACACATATATACACAGGCTCTGGTCTGGTCTGGTTGATAACACTTCTCCTTGGTTGATAAGTTCAGAAATAGAAAATCAGGAGGCAGGAAAGGGGTTTACAATATGACAACTTACTGTTTGCCATGACTGTTTTAAATTTCGTTCTGCCCTCCAGGCTAAAAGGGAAACATAATCTGGCTCCCATTATCAGAAAAGAGGGTCCTCCTGACCCTTCTTGGGGGTATTGAGATAATTATGAAAACAATTACCATTTACTAAGCACTCACTGTGTGTCAGGAGAGCATGTAGTACTTACAGTCATGGTTCAAATGAGGTTTCATTTCTATGATTGAGAAAATTTAGACTCGCAGAGATGATGACTTTTGCAAGTCTTCCCAGTTAGTAGGTGTTGAAGTCAAGTATCTCTGACTCAGCTACCACTCCACACTCTTCTCGGCCTGCAAAAACATGTCTTCAGCAATGTTTTCATAGCAAATATCCTGTATCTTATGGCTGTTTGACCTTCAAGTAGATAATCAAGGCTTTTGGGCCTCCCTGGTGGCACAAGGAGTTAGGACGCAACCTATGAAGCTGTCTGTAGTTGCTGCAGCACAAGTTCGATCCCTGGCCAGGGAGATACCCACATGGCGCAGCAGACCTCTCCTGTCTCACCCGCTGCTCCCCTCAGCAGTGTTTTTCAGTAGATCTACCTGTTCTGCTCCCCACTCTGTCTCTGGTCAATCCTCTCACCGTCCGCCCCCCCCCCAATTTCTGGCCTATACCCCAGCTCTTGTATTCATAAATAAATCTTTTTAAAAAAAAAAAAAAGAAAAGAAAATCAAGACTTTTGTTTGTTTGGTATCATTGAAGCCAGAAATGAGTTGAGTGACTAAAGTTTTGCCCATCCCATTTCTCATGAATATGTATACATATATGTACTGAGTGGTGATACACAGTTATGTATACATACATATACATCAAAAACTAAACATATGTTGGACTCAGGATATTAGGTGCCTCATATTCATTTCTTTAAACCTCAAAACAATTGTGTGACTGAGAGTCTTAAAAAGGGATCATTGCTTACCAGTAACTGTGCCCATGTGAAAGAATTTAAATAAAGGGGGAAAATAATCACAAACAATCCACATCTGAGCGAGCTTGAAATCATGAGGGGTGACCAAGCTTCAGCAGAGAGACTGAAAGCAGAAGCTGGGAAACCAGAACCCAGATGCCGGAGCCACCTCTGTAAAGTATATCTTGGCCCCGCTTCTGTCTGCACGTCCATGTTCAGAAGGGAGCCTTCTAGTTTCCAAAGACAAGACTCTCCATTCGGGTTACACGCCCATCCCTTCACTGATGAGCTCTGGGAAGTGGACCAGGCATCATTGTCCAGCCTTCCCTCTCATCCCTTCCTTGGAGGCCCACAGGGAGGCCCGGCCTCCCCCTCCATCTGTGCCTCTGGCTGCTGGGAAACATCTGTCTCCTCACAGGGCCCGCATCACACACATGCTGCGCTTAGCGACAAAAGGCTGCTGTGTGCTCCTCCTCTGCCATGGCTTCACCATTGTTTACTCAGCTCTGAAGTAAAACCTACTTGGGTCCATTTGAGCTCTACTCCTCTGTCAAATGGGGCCGTCCAGTCGTGGCCTCGCCCCGCTCCCGGATCAAGACTTCGCAGAACCTCAGCCTCCAGTTTCAAACTCCTTGGAGATTCAGTCCACCCTGGGCCCAGTCAGCTCTGCCCAGGGCTGGAGTCCCCAGAGGCCAACAGGAAGAGCAGTCGGAGGAAGAGAGCTGAGCTGGGCAGCGGCCTTGGGCTTCCAGTAAAGGTCAGCAGCCTCGTCTTCTTTGTATCAAGAAGGAAACTGCAGCTTGGGAGGAGACAGTCTCACAGCTCACCTCAGAGAGTCACACCTGGGTTGTGTGGCCTCTTCACCAAACACACTGCAAGACCCAGAAGCCAGCCCCGAATTGATATTCTCCAGATTGCATTGCATAGAATGCCTGGAATTGCATAAATTATTTCAAAAGTAACAGTAGGCGCAAGACAGAGCTAAGATTTTACTTCCTGCTCCTTAGTGGCATCTCCTCTCTCTCTCCTTCTAGACGGCCCTGGGAATGTGGGACTGCACGGACTAATGGGAAGCATACTGTAGTGATGCCTGAGTCTCCACTTACAGGCTGTGTGTCCTTAAGTCGCTTTACCTCAAGTTCTTTGATCTTTGCTCAGTTTTTTCAACCATCTTACTATATATATATATATATATATATATATATATTTTTTTTTTTTTAAATATAATATATATTTTAAAACTATGGTTAATATATGTTTGTATATATTAATACATAAGATACAATATATTGACTGTATGTAATACCTCATATTACATACTAGCATACAGTACATACAAGTGTTTAGCATTATATCAACAAATATATTGGATATCTCCCACATTCCAGGCACTGTGCTAAATAATTACAAATACAACAAATGCTACCAGATGCTCGTCGTGTAAGAAACGCAAACTAGGGCCTCCCCTGGTGGCATAGCGGTTGCGCGCTGGGCTGCGAGGCTGCCCGCAGCCTCTGCAGCGCCAGTTGGTTCCCCAGCCACAGGAGAGGGTCCCACAAAATAAACAAACAAATAAATAAATAAATAAATAAATAAATAAATAAAAGTAGAGAAATGCAAACTAAAACTAACTACACTAAGATAACACGGCTCTGCTCCTAGATCGCCAGATGTCCAAAGATTCTGCATCACATATGGGTGAGGCTTAGGGGAAATAGGAACATATGTTGTGGTGAGAAGAAAAAGTGGTACAACCCCAGGGAGGGCAATTTGCCAACATTTTTTTTTATAATGCAAACTCACATAACCATTGTACCTGTAATTTATTTGTAAGAAATTATCCTTCAGATGTTATCACATTCATAAAAGGTTAGATCAGGATATGACTTATCATTGCAGCTTTGTTTATAACAGCAGAAGAGTAAAAATAGCAAGTGGCTGTCAGGAAACTCTAAGCTCTGAAATGGAAAACTGTCAAGATACGTTGGTAAGAGAAACAAAGAAAAGTGCAGGACACTGTGTACGATGTGCCACTCTGTGTAATAATTAGATCGTATTGGTACTACTAAGAGCAGTAATGCAAATAGTATTAGTTATATATGATAAAGTAATACCATAGTATTAGTAATAGTAATAATAAAAATTAGTATAATATATATGTGTGTAAAGTCTTGTAGAAGTATTTTAAAATTCGTTTGAGTTTAAAAATTAGTATCAGGGGCCTCCCCTGGTGGTGCAGCCGTTAAGCGCTGGGCTGTGAAGCTGTCAGCAGCCTCTGCAGCGCCAGTTCGATCCCAGGCAGCAAGAATCCCACATGCCGCAGCAGACCTCTCCTGCCTCGCCTGCTGCTACCCTCAGCAGTGTACTTCATCAGTCTGCCTGTTCTGTTCCCTGCTCTGTCTCTGGTGAATCCTCTCACCCTCCCACGCATCTGATCTGTACCCCGGTTCTTGTATAAATAAATAAATAAATATAAAAAAGAAAGAAAAAGAAAAATTAGTATCAAAATGGTTTTTCTTTAATGTAGGTGGGAAGCAGGCAGGTGGGAAGAAAGTTTGGAATAAAATGTTTCACTGAATATTGTTTGAGAATTTTTGAAGCACATAGATGTAAAACCTATAAAATATTGAAACAAGTAGACATGACTTTTTTAAAAAAACGACAGTGCAACGAATGTTAAGAAGGAGGCTGGGGCCACAGGAGCAGAGGGCACAGGGACCCTGACTTGTCTGCAGAGGAAGTCCCTCAGGAAGTAACTGCTAAATTGAAACTAGAAGGAGAAAATGCAAGGGGGCAAATGCGTAGGGATGGGCTGTCCAGAAAAAATCTCCATGTTCACAGCCCTGCAGTGGCAAAGAGCTTCGCCTGCTAGGAAAGGAAACAGCCCCGGCATGGTGGGGATGCAGGTAGAAGAGGGCAGGGAGAAGGAGAAATGGTGGCTGAATACTAAGTGCGGGCCAAACTATGCAAGCTATGTTTGAAAAAAATTGGACTTTATCCTAAGGGCAGTGAGAAGTCTGTTTAAGCAGGAAAGGAGGGATCAGGGTTATGTTTTGAATAGATTGCCCTGGAGTCTATTAAGAGAAATGAGCAGAGGAAGCAAGAGTGGATGTTGACAACTCATATATCTGACAAACCACTTCGGAGAGCTATTTGGTGGTTTCCTATGAAGTTAAACATACTCCCACCCTATGACCCAGCAATTTCTTTCTTATTTATCTAAGTTAAATGAAAACATACGTTCACAGAAGTAATTATAGAAGAACTTTTGTGCCAGTTGTATTATACTCAAACTTGCCACATACAAATTTCTATCAAAATATGAATTGATGAGCAAATTGTGGTGATTTATACAATGGAATACTACTCAACAATAAAAAGGAAGAAACTGCTGACACACACAATATAGGTATTCTTAAGTTCATTTTTAAGAAACCAGACACAGAAGTGCATATACTGTATGATTCCATTGACAAGAAACAAAATCCATATATTAAAAGCAAATCTATAATGAGAGAAATCAGGAAATAATTACCCAGAGTTAGAGATAAATTGACTGGAAAGAAAAATAAGGGAACAAGGAACATGTTCTGGGGATGAAAATGTTTTATATCTGGTTGTGCCCAGCAGTTGCTCAGTATGTACAACTGTCACAACTCATCAAAGTGAACAACTGAAACACATGTTTTTCATTGCATGCTGAGTGTGCATCAATTGTAAAAAGAAGAAAGAACAGACATGGAGAAAGGCAGGAGGTGATTAAGTAACCCAGGAAAAAGGTGTTGGTAGCCCTGTGGCCTATCATGGGATCAAATGAAATAATGTGTATTAGGCAGCAAACTATAAGGCTCCCGACAGACCATAAAGTGCTTATAAAATGAACCAGTGCAAAGTAAGAATATAGTCGAACCAACCCACATCAAATCTTGGAGGTAACTGTGGACAATCTGCATTGCCTGAGGCCATCCTGTTAGTTGCAATGAAGGACTTGGAGTGATTAATCATGATTTTTTTTGTTGGTTTGTCACCATTTGGCAGGAAATGGATCCAATGGCTGCCAAAATTCATCAAAATACTTGATCTTACGGCAAGAAAAAAAAGGGAGGGGTTTCCAGAGCTGCTTTTGCTGGGAGTCTTTTTGTTGAAAACTGGGCTTTCCCAAACAAACAAACAAAAAATACACCCAGCAGCTGGACTTGAGTCTTGAATTTATTTTTTGGATAATTAAGGTTTGGAGGGCTGAGAAAGGAAAGCAGGTTGTCTCTTCTTTGACTCAGGGAACTTAACAGTGACATGACCACCCAGCGTTCAGGAGAGTTTGCTGGGAGCTGGGAGTATAGGAAGTATGCACTGGCTGGAAGCATCTGCAATCTGGGTGCGGACAAGTTTGAAGAAATAGGTCTATGGCAATCAGTCAGGAACTGTCTGAATGGATGTTAGTCACCACTTAACTGAGTTCATCTCTTGTGTGTGTGTGTGTTCAATGTTAATATATCCTATAAGTTTGTTTTCATTTGGCATTAATTTTTTTTAAAAAAAAAAAAGCCACTTTGAATGAGCAGACACAGCTGGGTCTCCTCCTCCTCCACGCCATGGCTGTTAAATGCCCTGACACTGTAGTTGGACCTCTGTCCATAAAGAGGAGTCATTCCAGAGCAAGGCAGGGCCTTAGATTCCAAGATCCTCCAGGGGTTTTAAAGAGCCTCTTCTGAACTGCGGTGGCCATTTGTCATATTTTTTTTTATCATCTAGTAACTGTTTCCAATCCTTCTCTCTAAAAGTTGAGTTCTGCTATGGTTTCTCTTGGTGTGAGGTAAGACTCACCTTCCACATCACAAGTGGACAGGATCACACACACACACACACACACACACACACACACACACACACACACGCTGTTGGTCCTGAATCTTAGCCCACCTGGTGGCCTTCCCTTTAGCTGGAAATATCAGGGAAGCATACAAGAACAGGACTGCAGTTGGAAGTTATCCACAGAGACACCTGGAAGCCATTTGTTGAACAGTATCAGAGCCTGGGTCCTGGCCAAACTCCTACCACCAAGTCACTGTCGCTGCGGCTTCTCTGACAGGGCTCTCTGACTCCACTTCTTGATGGGAAGCGGAGCCTTAGGAATTATTATTTTCACATGACAAATTTTCATCTGAGTGAAAACTTAAACCCGGATCTTTCCTGTGCCTCGCTGCTTCCTTCCTCGCGCAAATATTTTCCCTAATTTTCACCCATTTCTAAACCTAACTCTCTCTACCCTCCAATAAGCCTCCAGTTAATGTCCTCCTAGTTCAGTTATCCAGAAGCTGTTATCATTGCTGACATCCAAGATGAACACATAATCATAAGA